ACTTAATATCCTAATGATTTTTGGCATAAAAGAGAAATGTATAATTGTGACCCATACAATGTATTGTTGGCTATTGCTACAAATATCCCCCAGCGACTTAACACTGCTTTTCACATATCTTAGCCCAGCTATTTTAAGCTGTTTGATCATATTCTATGGTTACTATACAAAACCTTGTACAACACTGATAGGAAGACAAAAAATACAACCATCAACGTATTTCAGAATTGTTACTTTTTTGTAACATATACCTTCAAATTGTTATATTATTGCTACCAGTATTACAACATCAACATTGTAACTTTTTTGTAACATTTGAACTTTGAATTGAGTGCAACATTTTGTCATTGCAACATTCAATTTGTAAATATAACCACTGCAATACAGTATATATATTGTATATATTTATATTCACATAAATTATATCATACTTATTTAATATAGAAACATAACATATTTTTCTTAAATATGTACATGCATGTGTGTGTGTGTGTATTTGTATATACATAATAAATACACGCAGTATATTATAGAAACAACTTTTTTTTTTTTGATGCGATTGATCGAGTCTATTTTTATTTATTATTTTATGGTTTTAGTTGTGCATTAATGAGCGTGAAGGTCCATCAGAGTGACCGTGTTTGTGTTGTCAGATACTGGCAGATGAGGGAGCAGCGGACGCCCGCGCCGACTAAAGCAAAGACTCTGAGTAAGACCACTATAGAGGACCAGGAGCAGCAGGACCCTCTGGACTTCCTGCAGTCTGATGAAGGTGAAGAAGAGGAGCAGGACGAAGAGAAGAGCGGCGGCAGGCGTCTTCGAGAGCAGCGCGAGCGTCTTCACGGCGCACTAGCGCTCATCGAGCTGGCTAACAATCTCTCCGCATGAGATACGCCAGCGACTTCCCTCGCCTCTGAGACCCTCCTGGGTTCATATAAGCTACAAGCACCTTATTTTGCTTCCTGTTGTACCTTTAGGCTGCTATGATGGTAGTGATATCATTATATGGAGAATGTCGTCGTTTTCTCAGCTTGTTAAGGAGATGATGAGACGTCTCGTGTTCGTTTCGTCGTGCACTTTTGTTGGAAAGAGTGTTTGTTTGATTCTTTGGGGTTTGTGTGCGAGAGCGGATTTCTGTGTGTGTGAGAGAGAGAGAGCGTGTGTGTGTTTGTTTTTGAAAGACCGACCTGCTAAAGATGAAGACTTACTGACGGCAGATGGCATAGCGCTTTTATACATTAGTCCGGTTCGCTTCGTACGCCGTCGTGCATGACATTGGTCATGTTTAATCATGTATTTATTCTCTATTTAAAGCCACCGGCTCAGGCTTCGCAATAACGTCGAGAAAACTAACCAGCTTTAAGATGCCGCATTGGTACACGCTTATAAACTAGTGTATAGAGTTGATGGGTAAAGCGAAGAAGCACTTACGATATTAATCTACGACTGTACTTCCAAAGATCAAAATGAGATTCTGGATCCAAAAAGCACTTCGGTGTCTCCGCGATCCGTAACACTACGTTTTTCTGTTCATGTGCTTCATTCGGTGGTTCGTTCGGATGCAGATTTCATGGATTCGTTTGGAAACTGAAAGATGCTTGTCATTGGAAATTCATTTTATAGCTGAAATAATATATTATTAATTTTTATACCCCCCCCCCCCCCCAGAAATCCTTCGGAAAGCCGTGCACGAGCTGATCCCGTCACGACAACAGAATGTAATCGAGCGTTTTATTGTGAGATGTTCTGTTTGCTGTGCTCAAAGGACTTTGTAAATGTGTAAACGGGCTTCTCCTCATTAGTGTTAGCACTTCAAGTCTTCATTAAATGATATACATCGTTCCTGGTTGATGCATTTGTGTTTATTTAAATGAACTACACAAGGGAAACTGAAGTGGTTTTCGAGCAGCGAGGGGTTTTTAAATATTGCATTCAATAAAACTGAGGTAAAGACTGAAATGCACATGCATGCGAGTGGTAGAGCATCACGTTTTCTCCAGATGATTCTCAGTGATGTGAATGCTCAGTTTGTCTTCTGCCGGTTTGACGTTTGTTTCTGAGGAGCCGCTGCTGTGAAACGTGATGTAGGAGTAAATCAGAGCAGCCGAGATACTGAGAACATGAGAAACGCAGCGTTAGGAAACAGTAGTGATTAGGGCTGGGTTTCGACACAAATTTCACGATTCGATTCTCATTCACAAGCTTGCGATTCGATTCAATATCGATTATTTTGGATACATATCAGGTACAGTACATGCCAAATTTTCTCAAGGAAAAAAAAAGTCAGTTGGTACAACATTACTATAATATTGAAAGTTAAAATTAATGAAGTTTTTACATTAATAAAGTTAGTTACATATTAATATGTCTACTTCAATTCGTTTTTTTGAAATATTAACATTTAAATGGTGGCTGTCATAACTTGATGGATTTATTCAAACATAAATTAAACATAACCGTAAAAAATATACTGAATATGTTATATGGTGCATATATTAAGCAAAATGCCCCTCTACAGTTTATTTTTCTAGCTGACTAATGAGTTTATGGTCACGAATATGTTTTTCTGAGGTAAATGTGACGTTACGTGACATTGTTTACAAGCCGTTATATTGAAGTCTTTGCGTGGCTGAAACACTGATTGAGCGATTACATGAGACAGGATACCGATTGTAAAGTTGTACTCTTTCTTTTAACTTACCTTTGGATGTTAGGTCATGTTTATTTTGTGCTATAACTAGTAATAAAGCGGAGGAGATGATCAGTTTACTGAGGCGCTACAGCGATCACTTCACATTAAACAGCGCCAAAACAGCATTAATTGTTTAAATACTGCAATACAACAGACAGAATTTGAAATCTGAGACTTTGTTTCATATTAAAAGCACCAACGCACAATGCTTATTGATATATTTGATGGGAAGTGCCCTTAAACGTTCCGTCCATTAACTGAAAACAGGCTAGACTAATCGATTCTTGGGATTTAAGAATCGATATCGTTCCGTAAAAATGAGAATCGATTAATATCGAGATATCTATATTTTTTTACCCAGCCCTAGTAGTGATGCACTGGAAATTATGGTAAGAAATATAAGTTTCCTACCATATATTCAGGCCTATGAAGTTTGTCCATGAGAAGATATAGTCTCCACCAATGAACATGCCGATATACATCACAGCAATGTTCTGAGAGAAAATACAAACAGCTCTAGAATCACTTACAAACAGAATACTAAATATTTAAAAGTTAGATATATTACATATGCGTGACCCTGGAGCACAAAAGCAGTCATAAGGGTCAATTTTTTTAAATTGAGATTTATGCATCAGCTGAAAGCTGAATAAATAATCTTTCCATTGATGTATGGTTTGTTAGGAGAGGACAATATTAATAAATCTGGAATCTGAGGGTGCAAAAACATCTAAATATTGAGAAAATCATCTTTAAAGTTGTTCAAATGAAGTTCTTAGCAATGCATATTACTAATCAAACATTAAGTTCTGATATATTTACGGTAGGACACATACAAAATATCTTCATGGAACATGATCTTAACTTAATATCCTAATGATTTTTGGCATAAAAGAGAAATGTATAATTGTGACCCATACAATGTATTGTTGGCTATTGCTACAAATATCCCCCAGCGACTCAACACTGCTTTTGTGCTGCAGGGACACATTATGGAGTATAATAGACTAACTTTATAATATATTATATACAGGGTTTCTGCAGGTTTTATGAAGGCACATTTTTAAAACCAAGTAAAGAAAATGTAAGGAGTAAAGTAAAGAAATACATCAGTATGGTCTTCAAATGTCAATGTCTTGTATTAGTAATGCTTAAAAGTTTTTAAATGCATCATCTAACCATTTCTCTATTACTTTTTAATTCATTTTACAAAAAAATGGCTTGGATCTCGCTGCAAAAATGATGTTCTTTCTCTATTTTTGTCTTGTTTTCCAGTGGAAATGTCTGAAGAGCTTTAAATCAATATACCTACATTTACTGGAGAATCAAAATGACCTAAGATATGAAGTCTAGTTTTCTGAGAATAGAGTTTATGATTAAAACAAGAATAAATACCTGCCAGTGGAGTCAGAGAAATCAACTTAATTCAGAGGGAAACTAGTGTTTATTCCTCACTGACGAATATATGAACTCATTTCATTTTGTTTAATTTTTCAATATGAAATTTTAGATTTTGCTTCTCAAATAAATGTCTTGATTTAAGGATGTTTAGATATTTGTACTAGAAGCCAAGACAAAAATACTGAGGAAGAGATTCGGTTTTTTTGCAACACTTAATGCCACGACTTTATGAATTCAAGACTTTATGCTCTCATTTTAGACCTTTTAAGGCCTTCGCTTGTAGGACAAAAAGACTTCAAGACCCACAGAAACTCTTTATATAATAAAAAAATATATAATTAGTGAAGATACTTTAATTGCCCCAACGACTGTGGTAGTTAGTGCCGTGTTATAATAACTGCAGAGGATGATGGAATACATCAAAATAAACCTGAAATGAGAAAATACTGGAGTTAGATATATACATAAACATATGCGCGACCCTGCAGCACAAAACCAGTCATAAGGGTCAATTTTTTAAAATTGAGATGTGAATAGAGTTTATGATTAAAACAAGAATAAATACCTGCCAGTGGAGTCAGAGAAATCAACTTAATTCAGAGGGAAACTAGTGTTTATTCCTCACTGACGAATATATGAACTCATTTCATTTTGTTTAATTTTTCAATATGAAATTTTAGATTTTGCTTCTCAAATAAATGTCTTGATTTAAGGATGTTTAGATATTTGTACTAGAAGCCAAGACAAAAATACTGAGGAAGAGATTCGGTTTTTTTGCAACACTTAATGCCACGACTTTATGAATTCAAGACTTTATGCTCTCATTTTAGACCTTTTAAGGCCTTCGCTTGTAGGACAAAAAGACTTCAAGACCCACAGAAACTCTTTATATAATAAAAAAATATATAATTAGTGAAGATACTTTAATTGCCCCAACGACTGTGGTAGTTAGTGCCGTGTTATAATAACTGCAGAGGATGATGGAATACATCAAAATAAACCTGAAATGAGAAAATACTGGAGTTAGATATATACATAAACATATGCGCGACCCTGGAGCACAAAACCAGTCATAAGGGTCCATTTTTTAAAATTGAGATGTATGCATCAGCTGAAAGCTGAATAATAAGCTTTGCATTGATGCATGGTTTGTTAGGATCGGACAATATTAGAAAATCTGGAATCTGAGGGTGCAAAAAAATCTAAATATTGAGAAAATCATCTTTAAAGTTGTTCAAATGAAGTTCTTAGCAATGCATATTACTAATCAAACATTAAGTTTTGATATATTTACGGTAGGACATTTACTAAATATCTTCATGGAACATGATCTTTACTTAATATCCTAATGATTTTTAGCATAAAAGAGAAATGTATAATTGTGACCCATACAATGTATTGTTGGCTATTGCTACAAATATCCCCCAGCGACTTAACACTGCTTTTGTGCTGCAGGGTCAAACATATTATATATTTTTAAATTATATATATAAGAACCATATATTTTATAATAATAAAATACAAAAAAAGTTAACGAGTTGGACTCACCCCATGACACAAGACAATAAAAAATAAAATACGAACGTAACAGACATCCATCCTTCAAAGGTTAGCGCCTTAAAATAAGAAGAACATATGAGATATGTTTTAAAGAAGTTGAAATTCATTTTCTTCATCTCGATGTTCTCGCTCACCTTCTCTAAATCTCCGGTGTAAGCGCTCGCCAGGACCGTTGGGATAATAATGATAAAAGCGTTATAAAACAAAACCCCATATTTACCAAGACCCTGAAACAACAGACAACGAAGGCAAGAGTTCATAGGTTTGCATACGACTGCAGATCTGTGTTTCATCACAAAGCTGTACACCTAATGACTTCCAAGTGCATTTGATAACACCTAGTCGCATTGATATCTAACAGCCTGCCGCGGGAGATATGATGCACGTGGCAAAGAAGTTATCATCAGTTATTTTCATCACTGATAACTCCTGCTGTCATGTACCTCCATCCCCAGTTTCTTCTTGGTGTAAACTCCACTGGCGGCCGTGAAGACGTCGTTTAGCAGAACAAACGTGTATCCTTCTGCATTGAAGGACAGGTCCGAGCTGAAGCAGTCGGGTCAGAGTTAATAAACACACCTGTGTCTATATATATATATATAAATTTTTCTTTTATGCCAAAAATCATTAGGATATTAAGTAAAGATCATGTTCCATGAAGATATTTAGTAAATCTCCTACCGGAAATACACACACACACACACACATATATTTTTTTAATTAATATTAATATTTAAAATTCTAAAAAATATTTTCAAAAAAAGATTATAAATAAAATTTGCTTTCAAATATATTTACATAAAGGTTTCCCCACACACACACATGCATATGTGTCCCTGCAGCACAAAAGCAGTCATAAGTAGCGCCGGTATATTTGTAGCAATAGCCAACAATACGGGTTGGGTCATACAATATGGGTCAAAATTATAAATTTTTCTTTTATGCCAAAAATCATTAGGATATTAAGTAAAGATCATGTTCCATGAAGATATTTAGTAAATCTCCTACCGGAAATACACACACACACACACACATATATTTTTTTAATTAATATTAATATTTAAAATTCTAAAAAATATTTTCAAAAAAAGATTATAAATAAAATTTGCTTTCAAATATATTTACATAAAGGTTTCCCTACCAACATTTTTTTGCATATTTTTTTTTTATATTTTTAAATATATCTATAACACGTGTGAACATGCAACACAACTGAATAAAAATAATGAATAACACTATAAGGTTATAACTGTATTTTCTTGCCTCTGAAATATATATATTGGTATATGAAGGTATATTTTCGCCATATGGGCACAGCATTAAAAGCTTAAGGGTTTAAGGTAAGGCCAAAATAAATATAAAAGGGTGGGGGGTTGTGGTGTACTTGCTCATTATTTACATTTTCACATAAAAGTGGCATTGTAGCTTTAAGCATAATCCCTAGCAGAGCATATATACCTCAGTATCCTGGATTCCATCAGCATTGTGAGTAAAATGGTGAATTTTCTGAGCACAGTGAACATGGGCAAGCTGAAAAACACAAGGCAGCAGCTTCACGCGAGTCTGTCTTCATGCTAAACTCTATGCATTTCTATTCATCCACCTGAGCTTCTGAGTTCCTCCCAGTCCTGTCACGTGGTTCCCCACATACAGCAGTGGCAGGGGAAATATCTACAGTACAGAAACACAATAAGCAAGCATGACAATGCGATTACACATGCACAGAATAAATTACCTTCCCAGGAATGCTTTTGTCAAAGTCCTGAAAATGGATGGCTTTGTTCATCTTGGCAACATACAGGATGATGATTGTAGCTGTCATCTATGAACAAACAAACAAAGTGATATCAGTGAGTCTCGTGCGTTTGCATCGGATTTTAAAACATTAAAGCTCGAGCATGTTTCTCACCTGTCCGATTCCGAGGAACATAAACGAGGGAAACCTATTAAAGCAACACGCACTGTAATTATGATTTAAAGCACGTGCTGTTATTCTGATGCGAGAAGCTGACACTCACTTGTGCTCGGTTAATATACTCTTATTGACCACGATGATAAAAAACGAGCAGAAGGCGTAGAACACGGCGGAAGCAAACTTCATGAGTCTCGCGCGGTTCACCTCGTCCTTTAACATCATGTTTGTCTTGAGCTCCTACTTTAATCCTCGCAGCTTTCTCTTCTTTCGCTGGTCTGGAGACTGCTGACATGCTGTATTAGTGTCCAGAGAAACGCTGAATGCGTTGCATGATCAAAAAGCTGTTAATAATTCATTAAACGACACGAACTGAACGACAACTAATAGGACAAGGGGGCGGGGTCTCGGGAGGGGCGGGGCGTGGCGGCGCGGAAGCGGTCTCTGATTGGTCGAGTTGAATGTGTGCAAATAATAATTGATGTTAAAGAGATGAAACTGTAAATGTTGTGAGTGTGATCTGCTGCCCAGAAACCTCAAACTGGTCAAACTGGTCAAACTAGTAACTTAGGCTACACTTACTACTTTTGTGCATCACGAATCTGGCACAGACTTTAAGGCATTACAGTAGTATCACAAGCATTATGCATATCTGTAAAGATGTTTTCATGTTTTATGAAAAGCACTGTATAATTAATTTGACTTGTTTCATTCGTTTTCCGTGTTTATGAGTTTGCTGATGTGTTTTTTTGAGGCTGAAAGACTAAACATTTGATCTTTTTACGAGCATATTTCTATAGGATTGAAAATCTGGAATCTGAGGGTGCAAAAGAATCTAAATATTGAGAAAATCATCTTTAAAGTTGTTCAAATGAAGTTCTTAGCAATGCATATTACTAATCAAACATTAAGTT